TGAAAAAAGTTTTTTTGGGAAAAAAAAAAAAAAAGAGAATGTTTATTTTTTTTTTTTTTTTTCTCCACATTAAATATCTTGTCTTTGTGGGCACCCCGGTGGTCCAGTGGTTAGCGTGTCGACCTCACAGTGCAGAGGTACCGGGTTCAATTTCAGCTCTGGAGTCCCTGTGTGGAGTTTGCATGTTCTCCCCGGGCTTATGTGGGTTTTCACCGGGTACTCCGGTTTCCTCCCACATTCCAAAAACAGGCATAGCAGGCTGATTGAACACTCGAAATTGTCCCTGGGTGTGAGCGCGGATGGTTGTTCGTCTCTGTGTGCCCTGCGAGTGGCTGGCAAACGGTTCAGGGTGTCCTCCGCCTACTACCCGAAGACAGCTGGGAGAGGCTCCAGCACCCCGCTGCGACCCTTGTGAGGATTAAGCGGATCAGACAATGGATGGATGGATGGATGGATGGATCTTGTCTTTGTCGTGTATTCAATTTGCAAATCAGTCTATTCTGTTTTCAGTTCCATTTTACACAACATCCCAACTTCACTGGAATTTGGGGTTTGTACATTGCTGTTGGTTATATGGCTTTCTTTCTATCAAACAATCAGTGTCAATATGTCAAATAATCTACTCACAAAATAATAGGGAGACTGTATTCAGCTTTTGGGTACATTTTAAGGTTAAATCTAAAATGTGCGCTAACTTTTACAGGTGAACTTCATTTGAGCTTCTCGATATATTTGAATGCACATGTCCAAGTGTTCAATATTTCAGTTTTTTTGTTTTTTTCCATAGTTGCTCCTCTCTAACAAAGAGCTGAATCACAAAATCAACAGCATTTTTTTTTTCAATTACTGTTATCATCAATATTATTATGATTTAATTTCCATGGAAATCCCCTCATCCACGTTTTGCCTACCTGCCGATGACACTCTCGAACCCTGGACGCTCAGTGGAAACTTTCTTCTGAGAAGGTTCTGCGTGGCAGTAGAAAGCTTTTGATGATCCATTTCTAAAGTTTTGTCTCGGTCTCACAATGTCCAAATGTGAACAACATCATGAAGAGGATTCTTTAAATACTTAAATACACATGTAAAAATTATGGTGTATTTTTGGTTCATACCGAATTCCACCCTAAAGGCAAATACAAAATAAAAGTTTGTGCCTTGATGGTATCCATAGACGTATTGGATGACTTCAGGCACTCATTCTCAACTGGAAGGTTGGGACCCATCCATTCAACAGCACATTATTTGATGCTTTACACAATTTGTTTCCTCCAAAATACACAGATTTTGTTCAAATTTTATTCTTATAATAGATCTCAACGTTTTTGTGGAATCACGCTGTAATCTTGCCCTCAACTGTATTTGTTTTGCAGAATTTCAGACAAGGATGAAAGATCAAATGACAGGCCAAAAGTCGATGCAACACCCCACAATCTCTAAATCAACTTTTCTATCGTGTGCACAGAATTATTTTAATGGTTTTAGTATTCTCAGACTTAGCAGATGTAAGCAAATGATACATAAAATGTATTGTATGGATATTTAAATGAGTATGTCACTGGACAGAGCTGTTTCTAACACAAATTGGCCGTGACCATACATTGACAAAGAGTGTACAGACAAAAGATAAAATGTAAATGTTAAAAATAACAAAAATAAAAGCAAGTTTTAAGAATTCAGTAACATTAGATGACTTGTATCGCTGAGGGCAGCAAAGAGAGATTAACACTAAATTCAATCAGTAAACATCATTTAAAAGGCAGAGAGATGTGGAGAATTAACGGGTTGGAATCAAAAGATGTACATATGAGTGATTTTTATGCAACCAGCAATACTAACATCTGGTTTCGACAATGGACTGTATGCACGGGAATACATTGAGCCTTTCCCAGGGGGAAAAAGTATTTGCGGTCCCCACATGTCAGGCTACTGGGACGTTATAAGAGGTATAGTCAATAGTTCAGTGCCGTTGCTTTTCAAGGTGGAAACGTCATCAAAAATGGTGACCCATATTACAAAGGAGATGGAAAGCGTAAGAAAACAAATCGGCGATGATTGAAGCTCCAGCTGCTTGGATCCCGATGAGCGAGACGTTCCAATCAGCCGCACTCGTCATGGGGATCGAGAAGCTCTCAAGCCATGAGGAACTTCATCCCGGCCTACTTCTCACTGTTACGTTATTTTTGGTTGTCAATTGTATATTGAGAGCCTCAATTTCGCCGCATCTGCTCCTTACAGTGACAGTAAAGGCTGTCAATTGTATTTGTGTGCACTCTTTCTGACCAGCACTTTGATACAATTGGGGTTGTTTTGGTGGTCTGCAAACAAAGTCGAGTGGAGAGTTGAGAGTCTCGAAGATGAAGCCGTGCAAGTCTCCGTACACATGGACCTGCATGTACTGCGAAACTGGAAATGGAGATGGATGCTATGGAAAGGTACGACGTCATTTACGGTAACTTGACATGATTCCAGCAGACAGTGAGTTGGATGTTGTCATTGTTATTGCTATTCGTTAGCCGAGCGACCGTAAGGTGGCAAACGTGAAAGCAGGACGTGCATACAGTCCATTCCGCAAACCTTTTTGGTTCCAAAAAACGGAATTCATATGTATGAATTCATGCGTATTAAGGTATTAAAATTCAAACCAGCCGATATGATCAGTGCAAACTGTGCAAACTGTTGCACTCTTACAGAACAAATTGGCAGTGGTGATGCGCTGGATAAACAAAACAGCCATAGGGGAGTTGAATCTCTTCTCAAAAGAATTTTGTTCATTGTCAAGTGAAATTGAAGTCGTCAAAACACATTTTGGATGTTATTTGAACAAGCCAGAATATCGGTGGCATCAGGCCAAAACCTCCTATGTCACAATTTTGTAAATGTCATATTTTTTCACAAATATACACCATTGGTCAGTTCACAAGGAGTGATGAATACGAACGAGATATATATATATAGTGCTTCAATTTGGGGACAATTTTCTCATAAATTCTTATGAGAACATCACTGCAGCACCCCTATGCTCACAACTAACAAAGGAAAATGTTCTCGTCTGAAAATGAATTTCGGTGCACTTTAGCTAAATGTATTTAAACGCAATAACCACTAAGTAATAAACGGAGTCGTAATTAAGAGACGTCTCATCTAGTGGCACAAGAACTTGAAACTGCGCAGCTTGCAAAACTATGGTGAAAATGTTCATGGTCTCATACTTGCACCTCCATTTCAACTCCACCGCTTCCCTTGAACTCATTGGCCACGGGAGTAAGAGATTTGCTGGGGTTCAGTGGATATTGCTCAGGTTGCTTCAGCGAGTTGTGGGGCTTGTTTTCTGGGCGACAAAGCTGTTTGAGATTCTGTGAAGACACGTCGCCAAGGAAAAGTCACAAAAATGTACAGGTCATGTCAAGAACAACAAAGAATCAGATATCCTCAGATGGAATTCCAAATTTGGTTACAAACTGGTGAGGAATCAGTTATCCAACGCCAATGTGCAGATCAAAACGAAGAGAAGCCGGAGAAGCTCTGATTCCCGTATCCCGTGGTGCTCTTGGAAGGGTTGAATGTTCAACAGAAAGAGTTTGGACAGAATTCCAATATGATTGAGCAATACGATGGAGACTGTAGATGTAAACTTCATCAACACCTTGATGTTTTGAGCCCTATAACACAGTGGGTGGGGAAAAGGTAATCCGGACTAACTAACTAAATGTCATGTAGTGTTTATCATTTCTTACTCTTAAATTTCCAACCGAAATCAAATGTTATATTAATAATAAATTTTGCAGACATGCACAAGTCGGTCTCTTAAGAGATGAGCTGGACTACGGTGGTGTCATCTGCAAACTTAATGACGGTATTAGAAGCATGAGTCGAAGTGCAGTCATTTATGCTGAGAGAGAAGTGGAAGGGGCTCAAGATACATCCTTGAGGAGAACCGTTGCTAAGTGTGAGCGTGGAGGAGGGATGGCGGCCGACTTTGACGGTTTGTGAGCAGTTTGCCCACTGGCGGATGGGGAGGAAAGGCCAAGGTGCAGAAGTTTAATCACCATGTATTTGTAGTTTCCAATTAAATTGTCTTTGATGGGCTTCTCCATATCTTGAATCGTGCTGCAGTGAACGGTGGAGGTGAGTGTTGAAGAGTTTCAAGTATAAATTATTGGTGGAGCACAGAATGTTTTGACAAGCCACTTTGCCTGTAGCCAATTTACATATTCCGAAGCAGCCTTCACCTGCAACTTCTTACGATTTAGCGTCATTAGCAAAGTGTCTTTAGGTGCCTTTGCCAGGCATGGTACCGATTGTCTGCCAGGCTTTGGTCTCAACATTTACACGTTCCTAGCAGACATGACAGGATCATTTGGCCAAAATGTAGTGTGGTGATAGATTTTAGACTTTTTTTTTTTTTGCTATAGATCTTCTTACAGTCTCTCATTGCAAACTTGATGTGTCATGTATGGGGGGGTGCAGCTGAGTCTCGGAGGCTCAAATGTGCACTCATTTAGCCTATGGAACAGTATGTTCCCTCCCAGCCCGTCACGTACTCATGTTTTCTCACGTTCATGTTTTCTCACGTTCTGTCAAGGCTTTGAAGGAATGTAACATGGACGCAGGTAGCTTTCGAGTCGGTTTGAGCACACTCCAGAGTCATCATTAACGAGGGGTTTGGGGGAGTGGAGGTTAAATACGAAATCAACTTGAGCTTTCTGCCAACAGCTAATTAACTAATCCAACTCTTGTGCCAAAACTCGCAAAAGAGCTCATTAATCTAATTCTCTCTCTCTGTCTGTCTCTGTCTGTCTGTCTGTCTGTCTCTGTCTCTCTTTCAATATTACTTCCTTCCCTTGATGGTTAAGGAGGTGATATGAAAGTAGGAGTTGAACGTCTTTGCACCCCACTGTAATTGACATCAATTCATCGATGATCTTACTGATTCGTCATTGATATATATATTTTTTTCGAACGTTCCCACAGCCCCCAACCGTTTTGCATCACAGGCCAGTGTATTTGTTGTAATTAGTGGGAGCACTGCGCCTTTTTTTTCTTCAACGAGCAGTTAGTCTCATCGAGTGTCCCAGAGTATAACGTTTTGTAAGATGGCACATTGTTGCAGGGCTCCAAAAAAATCTGCATTTCTCGGTTTCATTGTTTCTATTTCACCTGGGCTCTCATTGTATTGGCAGAAAGACATATTTTGCGAGTGACTATGCTGCTACCAGTCTCGTGTTTGGTCAAATATTTCAGCATTATTATAGTCTTCCTTCACAGACCTAACCCCAAGCCTGAGAGTTTTCACAAATATAGGCCCGTGCCTCTTTATCTCCAAATTTCTTGAAAAAAAAAATCATAGCACAATAGATCAATGACGACATAGTTTCTCATAATGTGTTTGAACTATTTCAACGCAGATTCAGGGCAGATTACTGTAAAGGCACGGCCCTCGCCAAAGTGGCGAGTGGCTAATGGCTAATGGGGCTTTTACTAGCTCTGTACACAGAAACCTCTTGACCTCAGTGCCGCATTTGATTCCATCGATCATGAGACACGACTAGATTGCCTTGAAATGTTTATTGTTTTAAGGCTTGAAATTTTTGCCTCAGATTTGATCTGTCAGAGAGGACGCACCGTGTAATTCACGCAGTATTGTAATGTCACCTGCGGAGTCCCGCAGTTGACTGCAGCTCTCACTGTGACGATGACGATACTGAACTTCACTAACTACCCACGCCCCACACAACTGCTGTAATCTGAAGGATCGACCTGTTGAGATTTAACTCTTGATGACCTGATTATATTTTCTTTCTTAACCCTGAAAAAAATGAGATGCTTATTATTTGTCCTGCCAGGCAAAGGCACCTGTCTGTGGTTTTATTGAAGTGCCATTACCCAACGTGACTGTACAAAAAAATCCAGGAGTTATCTTTTGTTCAACTTTTCTCCCAACAAAGACACATCAGGAACTTTTGCTAGAACTTCATCTTCACTGTAACGTTTAAGATTCCCTCCATACTTTTCATGAGTGTCACAAAAGACCGTCATAGTCATGTATTTATCCATCTCACCTTGACTATTGAAACATGCTGATTTCTGGTTTTCCCCAGTCTGGTCCACCTCAGATGTCATTTGAAAGTTTTTTTTCCATGGCTTTGCACCTTTCTAACTTGATAACTATATATGGTATATTATAATAAATCCTTATCTTTAAGCTCACAACATGTTGGTCTTTTGGAGTTGCAGAGAGTGAAAAAGACATCAACAGGTTCAGGGGCATTCCAACTTTGGAGTACAGTACTCTACCCTGGGAAATTAAAGTAGCTTTATCTATCCACACTGCGCCTAGTATGCAGCTCAAACTGCCCCACCCTGGTATAGGGATTTAGGCCTATTATGTATGTATTCGCAGCATATCAACTTACTAAACACCTACAGACAGGCTTCCATATGAGCAAATTCAGAAAACTAAACATGAATGATACCGAAGGTGTCAAAACCAGATGCCACATCAATCTTTAGAATAATAAGTACTTGTAGAGTTTGCCTGCAGCTGAGATTTGGCCCGTCCCCAAGTCCTGTCAGCACAGCGCAATTTAGGCACCTGGCAACTATACTGTCAGCTTCATGTAAGAATTTAATGTAAACTAAATTGCAGTGGAGAGAAGAGACACCACTTGTAGGCGGTTATGATTTTAGTACTTTGATATATATATATATA